CTCATATTGAAGTTGACTATTGACTATGATTTGTTAAAAGGGTTTGTCATTGGCTAGTGTAATGTTTTGTTGTGAAACGTTGTAGAAGTGATCATCTGAAAATTGAAACAATTGCTGAGATTAATAGAAATAAAGTGTTGAATATTGATATTATCTGTTTCCCACATTGTTAAGTCCTGATAATTATTGTGAGAAATAATTAACGTGATCAGTGGCTTTACATAGATGAGTATCATTTATCATTAATAATGATATATAACTAAAGGCAAACTGAGCAAATGTGTTATTTCAGAAGAGTGTATTAAACTGGTTGCCCTTCGTATGACTCAGTACCCATGAAGAAGCTCTCAGTTTCAAAAAGGTTGGTGACCCCTGCTCTAGAGCATTACCACGGCCCAGGCAAACAGCCCAAACTGCACTAGTATTGTTAATATTAATATTAATGTACATAAAGTCCTACTACAAAAGCAATTTACTTTCAAACAAAGTATATGTATTTCTTGCAAAGTATATGTATTTTGCTCTTTTTATGTAAAATGAAAACATTCAAAATTATTCCGTTTAAAACTCCTTCAAAACAAGAAATTCTGATGCGTAGACAGCCCCCACCTTGTATTTCTTCATGTGCCTGGCCTCCTCAGCTGTCTTTTTTTGTTTGTTTAGATTCTGCGTTATTGTGTAGTTTAATGTAGCTAAGTGTAAGTTATCATATAGATAAGGCAGAAAAGTGGTAGAAGTATCACAGAACGGTGATAAAAGTTATGGAAAAAACGTAGGGGGAAGACGCTCCCGTCCCCAGGACAGCCCACAGCCTCTGTGTTGTGGTGTGATTACATCTCCTCACTCTCGCCATGCCCCAAGGCTGTCGTCGTCAAGGAAACGGGGCGTGGATAAAGCGCATACTAAGCAGGTAACCAACGCGATTGGCTGAAGTGTCGCATGATGTTGTTACATGCAATCGCTCCACTTTGAGCTGCGTTGGTACGATCCGACTTTCATGTGCTCATCGCACCACCTCAGGCTCAGCTTAATCTTTCGCCTGCTCACGGTAAGTTGCTCTTCTCTCATCCGTTAAACGTTACTTTGTACAGGCTACGATAACTGCGCCCACCAGTTTGCTAAACAAAAGGTAACCGGAGCGGGGACACTGGACGCACCAAAGGCACTGCGGTAACGTGTCAAACGCATATTTATTAATAGGGTAGAACTGCTGTTGCAAACTCAGCAGCTAGCAGACGCCCAATTCAGAGATAAACTCAAACAATATTTTAGGCATTAGCTTAAAAAGATATGTTAATGGTAATATTTTCGCCCATTTTTTACTCTTGTTAAGATCAACAATTGTAAAGCCACAGTGCAGATTGATGAGGATAAAAATTAAAATTATTAAGTGATAATTTTTGTACTTAGTTAAGTGCGCGTTCTCTTTTGATAGGGGAGCTCCAGAAAGGATGTATTTGCAGTAACTCTACATCTTGTTAATGTTGAAAATTATGTTAAGCTTGACAATCTTCCTTGGTAACCGATTCTTTGCATGTGTGTGTGAAATAGTCTTTCAGAGCCATGTGGTTTTTACCTTCCACATCACAGTTTTGCTTCTGTTTGAAATTGCTGACAGAAAGAACGATTTTTATTGCCTTTTAGTTTTGGGCAATATAAATGAAAAGCAACCCCAACAAGTGTGTATGAAAGAAATGTATATAACGACCCAAGTTGTTTATTTTAAAATCCCACTGGTAGAATAACTGAATTATACAAAAGCGAATGAAAATGGAGGATACTATATCTAGTATTAAAAGTACAAATTGACAATCAAAAGAGATCAAATTTAAATGATTATTTTACTACACTGCAATGAAAAGTCATAACTAAAGTATAAAAGAAAAAGGAAATTTAAAATGTGACATTAAAAATTGTGAACATTTTAACTGCAAAACCTGAAATGTTGATACTCAGACTGAAAGCTACATTTTGCGCAATTGTCTCTTGGCTTTTCAAACTGTATAAAAGAAGAGGCGCGACTGTAGTGACGGTTTGATTTGGTGCAGTGGCACCTTATGGTCAGCAGGCAGAGCTGACTGCAGAAGACCACACTGCAAAGAAAACAGAGAAACGGAGGAAGTGATGGGAACAGGATCAGAGGGATGACTATTATCAATAAGGAAATGACTTTATAACTTGATTTAAGTGTTATGCATTTCTGTCTATGTGTGTTCACTTACAGTAGGCATTCACAGTCACTGCAGGTGTCTGTCAGCAGTGGACAGTGTAGCAGGGAACTCATGCTGGGAAT